TTGAGAAGTCTGTTCATTCCGGTTGGTAAGAGCCAAACGGAATGTTGCTTACCATTAACCAATTTCTCAGTTCCAGACTCACGCCACACCCGCCCCTTTTGGATTCAAACCGTAACGGATGTGGCAATTCTGCGGTAACTGGTAAATCGCTTACCATTATGCTTTCGACACCCCAACCGGATTTTTCTGTCAAATGGTAAGCACACCTCAGAATACTTGTGCCAAGCATAGAAATCTAGAAACGCGTGGTGAGTGTTTAGTTTAGGTGATTTTGTCTTAGAAAGCCTATTCTGTGCTCAAAGATTGTGGATTCTTAATCTGTTTCGGCCGACAATGAACTATGGGCCTCACGGTTTGACTGACTAAAGATTACAATTTCTGGACTTTTCAAATACACTTTATATATCTGTCTGATTTCGTTAAAACGTGGTCACTAGGTTTTCGCCTGGCGCCGGGCGCAGCCCGGATCCAGGCCAGCCCGGCGTCCAAAATGTAGGGGGGCTTGTCTTGGTCGGTACACCTGGATAGCCCAGGACTGCCCCAACAGTGGGTGGGTGGATCAGGCCTTGGGATCAAAACTAGTGGGGTAGGGAGGGGCTGTTTTGACACAACCCTTCAGTAAGCAGCAATGTTCAGTGGAGGCTTTGACTGGCCAGTACCTTAGTCTTAATTTGCCCCAGCCAGCTGAATCAGGCCTCTGCTGAGAATGATTATCATGATCATTGCAGAGCTCAGTGGGAGGTGCAGACAGTCACCCATTGTCCTGGGTGGGAGGGTCAAAGTCTTGGTACCAAGGACACACTTAGCATAGGACCTTTAGACACTCACTGAAGCCATGTTTTCATAAATCCAGGCAGATGTATTTAACAATTATTCCATGGGCGCGCGTCGGATAAGAGAGGTAGTAAATAGCCAACGAGACGCGTAGCTCCGAGTTGGCTATAACTATCTCATATCCAACAAGCGCGAATGGAATAATTGTTTTATTAAATTTTTTAAACTCAAACGTCTGGTTATTACAACTGAATTTGAGTAAATTCATTTTAAGTATTACAAAACGACCGGATATTAATGTAACTTCCGGTAAACCAAGGGAAAATCACATGACATGTGCGCCGTTTGCAAACTTAGATGAATGAAAAATTTGAGAGGGAAGGACGCTGTGCTTAAATTGTTCTCGAAAAGTATTGTTTCCGCCTTCCCTCGTTGTGGCTGTGGAATTTGACGCTGGATAGGTCGACCTGATTGCTCTTCAATTTCGTTTTCTTCCTCCACTGAATCGGAGCTGCACAAAGACCCAGCTTCATTAATCAATTTGTTGTTGTTGTTGTTGTTGTTCAATAGACCTATTCGGCTAACTCAATGTTGCACCCAATTCAAACCCTTTGGGAATAAAACGTTTTGTTTCGGGAATTTCCATATCATTTAAATGTGAATGCCACATTATAATGCAAATACAATACACAAAGAATCTTAACCCCGGGAGATTTGAATTGGGTACAACATTGAGTCAGCCGAATAGGCCTATGGAAAGCCGCTCGTTGTAGCATTGTAGTATTAGCGTTGTAGCATTAGTATCGTGGGATATTATAACGAGTCACGCAGTATTTTGGGGAGCCCATGGGGCGAGTCAAAATACAAGAGACGGGTAAAAATATCCCACGATACTACACAATAAACCGTCCAATAAGAGATTTATTATTCAACTCGAGATGTTTTAAAATAGAACTCAGTAAATACGTAAAACAAGAATGCGTGACAGATTAACGTGACTCCTTTGCAAGTCCAGTTTTCGTGCACTTTATGCAACGTTGTTGCTGATTGGTCTAAAATGAAAACTTGTCAAACCAGTTTACGCAGCAAACCAAATTTGGTCGGATTTCTCGGGTTTTCTTCGGCGCTTCGGGGTGCTATCTTTTAAACGTTTGATAGAAAACAGAGATGGAATGACCTATGATGGTCTTCCCCGTTCTTATGTACAACCGACTGCAAGAAGATAAACTGAGCAGAGCAAATTGGTGATGGAAAGATGAAAAATCTCCCACGAATTGAGTGAGTTTTAAAGAGCTTATTGTAAACAACGGACTTGAAACCCCATCTTCGCCGGGATTAGTACTAACTTTAAGACTTTAGAGAACGTCTAGAGTCTTCCATATCGAGTTTCCTCACATTTTAAAAGGACTAGAAGAGAAGACTGTTAAGCTCCTCGGGTGCATCTCATGTACACGTTGATCTTCTCTGTTGTATTTTGAACTTATGTAAGCTTTTAAAATGTTTATATGTTCTGACTATTTTTTAATAAATGTCGACGTTTCATTGTTGAGGCAACTTTATTCTAAAAACACGGTTTTATTCAACCTTACAATTTCGGGAAACAATGCATTTTCTACCATGTGCAACGTTTGTAAAACCTGGTCAAACCGGTCTTCTAGAGTACAAATACCGTGAGATATATTTACTCGTTTTGGGTGTTATTTGTACCCACTGAGTGAAGTTGAATAACTATCAATTATTGAATGAGGTTGAATACGATAGAAAAAGTTATGCAGATCGAGGAGAATGTTATCCACCAATGTGGAAAACAACTTCCGAGATCTGCATAATTCGCATTAAACGAAAACCGAATTCAATAATTGTTTTATTATTCATTCAAAATATCTCTAGGTTCTTAACAAGCTTACCTCCTCGCAGGCTTTCTTCAAAACTTTGGTTTATTTTTCAGGACGGTTTCAGGATATAAACAGATTTTTTTTTCTTGCAGATACTACTCAAACAGTAGATAACATCCATCGAGCAATACGTTTTCCTTATTCTTGCATTTCGTCCTTTAAGTTTGAGTCGGACAGCCGTGAACGCCATTTTTAGTTCACTCAAAAAACCAGTTAGGCTGCCGTGCCTAGAAACCCAGTCGATCGATGGGATACCGGTATTTGCCTTGAAGCGGCGCTGCTTGCGCATTATATCATCGAATCGATGGTGTATTGCTCGCATCTTCCAAATTTGGTCAACGCCAGCTGGTAATAACGAATTAGCCTGGGGATGTAAGCAATTAGAAACAGGGAAATATTTTAAATGAGTATTAACTCTTAATATATGATATATGACACTATGTTAGGCCCCAATACCGCCGGTTTAAAAGCGCAAAGTTCCTAACACTGGACGTTTAAAATATCAAAGGCATGTGTTTCAGATACTATCAAAATTTACATAAGAGATTGCCATTTATGAGTTCGAACTTCCTTGCACCCGTAGTAGTAATTACTGCAGCTTCATGTTTCGTATGAAGTTAAATATGATCCTGTCATTTACCATATATGGAAGATGCAGTTTGTTTTTCGGTTTAAAACTTTGATGAAAAGTTCACACTCGAATAATAAATCCATTATTAAATTATATGTGTTGACAGTTTGCTTATTGTTTGCAAAGCATACACCATGTTCATTAACAGTCAAACCATCAAATAAGGCGAGAAAGGGACAATATTTTTTGAACTCAGATATTTGTACTTCTTTTCTCCTAAATTAATTTCTGGTGAGCTTTAATCCTTCTTTTGAAAAACGGAAAACACATTTTCTGACAAGAATTATGGCTCATGATAACGTTTAACTTAAAATTTAAGAAATTTTCTATGCCTTAATAACAATGTTTCTGTACGTCGACATTCAGTGCAAACTTTTTTGTCGCTGTTTGACAGATCAAAATACCATATCAAATATGAGATTTTACTTAGCGTTTCATGGAAATACTTTAGTTGGTAAGTTCGCACAAAAAGGTTTACCAGGATTGCGCTTCCTCTTTAAATAAAGTTATTGTATTGTATTGTATTGATGTTTCGATGGGTGTCCTCTATTTAAGCGTGGTTTTAGTTCTTGGAAAAAATGATAAAGCTATGTACTGACTATTGTTTGTGTTAAGAGAGCTAAGTAGACATGATATTACGGAAAGCAGGAACCAGCATTTTGGCATTGTTGAAGAATGTTAAAAGAGCCCAGAGGCTGATACTTACCTTTTTGCCGATCGAAGAGATAGCCGAAGTACTGCCTTGAAACATGGTAATTTAAGCTAAAAAATAAACGGTAAAATTTACAACAACGTTTCAACCTTGCTTTTGGTCATTATCAAGTTGAGTAGGAGAGTAATAATAGCAAATATGTTTATATAAAGAGCGAAAAAATGGAATAAAAATGTGTAAAAAATAAGACAGGAGCGTTAAAAACAATACAAACGTGCAGAAACTAAAAGATGTTAGAAAACATAATAAGAGGAACTTAACATCGATCGAGGTAGGCATGTTTTTAAAGTAAGAAATATTTTATAACATTCATTGCATTCGGCATTTTTAAGATCTGAAAAAATTATGCAGATTGAGGAGGGTGTTAGAAGCCGAGGGTTAAGGCTTCCTCCATATTTTCAGATCACACCCATCCTCATCCATTAAATAATACAGAGTAACTTCTGGTTTGCTGTTCCTCTGGGGCGGTGCCTTGCAACAGCTTGCTCCTGGAGATCGGAAAATCACCAGCGGTCTCCCTGTCTTATGCTTAGCACGCCTTTCATCTTACACTGCCCACAGAAAAACAGAAAAATGGCTATGTGCGTAAAATATAAGAGGCTCATCAGCCGTCTGCTTCTTTCTTTGTAGATTGTATTTGCGAAGAGTTATTAAGACTGCGGATACTTGTTGTTTTTTTCATATCTGGCGATCGCAATATCCCTTTCGCGTTCAAAGCAGCTATTCATTAATGATAGCCTCTTAAACAAATCTTTATTGCGGTGTCTCTAAGACTCACTAAAGTCTTTTAAAGACAAATGTTACGCTTCTTTGAGCAAAGCGGGGTCCTTAATGTCAATAAATTTGTCTTTTTCAATTGCTTGTTTGTTTGCTTGCTTTTTGTTAAGTATCCGTTACGTATATATTTGCACATTTTTTGTTTTACTTTTTTCAAACTACGTAACAAAAGGGTAATTTAAAAAAAAAGCTGCCAATAGATACTTAGTAAATAGCAAAATATCAGATAAAAGAAGAGGAAAAGAAAAAATAAATAGATTCTACACATTTTGCTTCTTCATTATCATCTTTGTCTTGATACGGAGCTCCGCGCGGAACCTATCCTGGTATAGAGCACGAAGAGCCTTTTTTCCGCTTAAAAGTCACTTTATAGTCACGGCAACGTACGTCCGATCGAACGACCCTGCTCACGTACAAACTCTAGTAGGGGAGCTGCCACTGAACGTTCTTTTTGATACAAAGGGTTCTGGGAAGGACCTTAGGTAAATTATTACTCACGGTTTTTTTACATAATTTCAGTTATCGTGACCAACACTGACATAGTTATGTCGGAATCAGCTGAAATTGCTGTGACAGTTGTAACGTCAGTGCTTATCATCACAAGTATCGTAGGAAACTCTCTTGTTTGTGCCGTCATCAAGAAGAATCGAGACATGAGGTGAGAACTATTCAGCAACGACACCACGTACTCCCTTCAACCACTTGATGCCAAATAATTTTTTTACTATACAACGTATCTTGCAGAATTTACCATCAATTTCATTAATGAGTCCAATTGACAATTTTTAACGAGACCATCAGGCACCTTGTTTACCCCAAAATTTTACCTGACCATTTTTCCCAATTGATAATAAATTCAAATGACTGTTTTCACCGATGCACCGATGTCCCCCCCCCAAAAAAAAAAATTTACGCAACCATTGTTTCCAATTTCCCCTGGGCATTATAGTCGTCCCGAGAGAAATCGAAGACAGTGGTTATGCAATTTTTTTTTGTGGAGGGGTGTAAACAAGGTGCATTATGGCCTCAGTAGAAATGGTGAATTGATTATTGAGAAAAGGCACTTACTGTGGAACTCACAAAACCGTGAACACCAGAAATATTTATGGAATGTTATTGTGTTGCAAGAAATAAGCCAATAAGGCGCGAGATAACTAAACCGCAAACAGCAACGGTAATTAATTTGTGGTTCTGAGGTTTGCTTGCGTATCCTGAACTTTATTGTGATTGGCCAATACACAATCAACATTCCTGAAATTTTTCAGGTGTTCACGGTTTTCTGATAACGTAATTGCATCACTGTATTCAAGTTTTGATAAATCTGTAATTTCTTTTCGCCGTTTGTCGGTAAAGAATAATTCTTGAAGTATGACATGGTATGCCATACATACGTACTTACATATACCATATTTAACCTCGAATTCAGAGTAGTTAAATATAAGCTATAACTTTCGCGTTACAAGTAAAGTTCTAAATATCACTAAAATTTTGAAATTATAATGTCGCCTGTTACAATACGTTGCGTTATTTCATCATTTAATTTTCACAGAAATCCCATAGATTATCTACTGGTGAACCTTGCAGTGGCGGATATCATCTATACAACATTTAGTTTACCAGGCATTGTGTTGAGACACACTAACAGTCACCCAGGGGGAGTGACTGGCAAGGTGTTGTGCATAGTACTGACAAAGGGAATCATTGCGTGGGTCGGGGCTTTTTCTTCAGTGTTAACTCTTCTTGCCATTGCCATAGAACGCTACCTAAGCGTTATACACTCCCTCGGCAGCAAAGCAAATCTTACCATACGCAGACTAAAGGTAAGTTGCACTTCCAAAACCTTACAGCACCTAGCTAGTGTAATATCACTAATAGGCGAATCCTTTTTTACATTTTTTGCATCATTAACATATCCTTATCATTAATCTGAGCTCGATATACCGAATACGTTTAGAAGAAACTTTCCAAAAATGTATGAGCTTTTTGTCCCCAGCAATTTCGCAGTTATTGATTCCTGATATTTCCTCTGTTATTGATTGCAAAGAGCAGAAAATTGCACAAACTGCTCCAATAAAGTAACTCTTTTAACCTTTGAACTAAAGTTGTTAATACGACTTAATTCGGGAAAAAAGGTTTCATTAATTAACCTTTAGTGAGGGGCTGTGAAAATTTAGGAGGCTATGGAAGAATTTGAAGAATTTCATGATCAAAACATCGTTTAAAGAGATATCTTTCTAGATTAGCTTTAGATTAAAATATTAAATTAAAACATATCTTTTTACATTAAAACTTATCATTGGATTAAAACATATCTTTTTAGATTAGCTTTTAAGAAGTTTTAACTTGATTTTATTCTCATTTTATTTTATTTATGAATTTTTATCAGCATTTTTTCTGTTAATCGGTGTCATCTTTCATAGTCGATATCATACATTTATTTTATAACTTTTAATTAGTATGACCGTAAAGCGCTTTCGATCATTTATACATGTATGTTAAAAGGCGCTATAGTAGATTTATAATTTATTATTATCATTATTACTAGTGTTATTATTATAATACTACTACATGAGAAATTTCTTCAATTTGATTGGCTAAGAGAAGTGGTACTTCAGCTTAATTTGAAATACCTACATGTGAAAATTACAAAACCTTTGCGGGTAGTAGTATAAACAAATAATAGCATGATTTGTACGTGATATTTGGCATAAATACCACTAGTGATATTTCAAAACTGTCTCAAATTTCACTCACCTAACGGCTCGTGAAATTTCGTATAACAATTTTGAAATATCACTCGTGGTATTTGTGCCAAATATCACTACAAATCATGCTATTACCCATACTAATGAGTAGAAATTACAGATGTGTGAAATTTGTAAATATCTCCAAGAGCTCCCTTGGCGTTTTCTCCGACGAATGCTCCACGTTCTTAGACATGATGAATGACACTGGCATTGACAAAAAGCAGCAACTTTATATAATCAAGAAAATGATAAACATAGTCATTAGAGCAACATATTACATCTTTTGTTGTAGAAATAGGAATTGGGATAGCCCAGACTTAATGCAATTTTGATTTTCTTTTCTTTTTTTTTTTTTTGTTTTAATAATTCGATTTCAAGCGGCATTTGTAAATTGCCTATACGTAGCGAGATTTACAATAATTATTGTACATTCAAAAACAAAAATAAAGTTTCCACTATTATTATTATTTAAGGATTTGCGGATGCATCAAAATGTACTAAAGTAAATCACTGTTCGGTATCTATGAATAAGTAGTACAATAGTGTAGCACTTCTCAGTGACGTCCATTTGACATTTCTTACCCGCAAAAATTTCATTTCACAGACTTGAGAATTTGTTACATGAGTTAGGGATTTTTCCATTGTGAGAGAAATACATTTTATTCTACCAGTTGTCCTAGCTCGACAAAACTCAGAAATGACAAAACAACATGCTCAAAACTGCCCAAAGAAGTTCGATTTAGCTTAATGTTGTTTCCATTTTCCATCACTAGATTATTATTCCTAGTTTTTGGTTCTTTTCATTGATATTGGAAATCCCGCCAGCAACAAACATGGCATTAGACAAGAGATTCGATCCAAAATTCTGCCCCAAGATGCGGCTTCACTACAAGACATGGATACAACATGGTTACGTATTCTTGTGGTTTACGATGGTTGTCATTTCCATTGCGGTGATGATTGGGTTATATTCCAGAGTCGTGTTCACTTTGTGGGCCAGGTGCAACAACGATGAACTCACACATCGACAGAGGGTATTTCATTTAACACGTTAAAAAGACGTTCACCTAGTACTGTACAATAATTCGACCGGTTGAAAATTCGTGCGTTTAGGGGTTTAGTTCACAGGGAGCCTCCGTAAAGAAATTTAGACTCCCAACCGTTCAATAAGTTGATCTTCAAAATCGAGTTCAAATTTTGAGCCGGTACGGTCAAAAGATTGATCAGCGTGGTGTTAACACATTGACCACCTAAAGGCGTGGTTGCATGAATGCTTGGTAGTTAGTTGGAAGACGCCATTTTGGATTGGCTTAAGTTGTGCTCTGGGCAAGGACAGATGGTTAAAACGCTGAAAAAGGTAAAATTCAACCTGGTTCGTGAGGGAAATATTGAACGGTTCCTTGTGAACGAAATGTCCGATCAAATTTTTTCAGCCAGTCGAACTTTCGTCCGGTACCGTGTGAACGTAACTTTAAAGCTTTTTTAAATTCTGACGAGATTTTTTTCTCAATTGTGCTCAATTTTCGGTCTTCCTTCTGATTTTATTTCTTTCTTAACAACTACACTATATTTACTTGGTTACTGATAACACTCACGGTGGCTCGCCTGCATTTTTCAGGAAAATATCTCCCAAGTTTGAGCACGTCGCCGTTATCAAAGATATAGGAAACGACCATCACAGCTTAATCAGACAAAGAAAAAAAAATTGTTATTTACAAAGGAACCTCGATTTAACGGACGGCCAAGGGACTGACAAAATTTGTTCGTTATAACGAGGATCTGCATGAAACACTGGGAAAGCTTTATGACCTCTAATAAACGATAGACTCAGAGGGCAAAAGTAAGATTTAGTCAGATTTTAGAATACTCCGAGCACTGCATAATCTTAGCGAAGGTGGCGTGGAAGCTACTTCAATGCATGCATGCTCAAATCCCTTCCAGTGTTGTTAAATATGCCTGCAAGCAAAATAAGGGTAACGTCATTACATTACTGTGGCAACTGCGAAGTCAACGTAACACTGTTAACAGCAAACTTTCATCTTTACCTAATACAGCTGTGGTGATGACTTTTCCAAATCTTTTTAATGGCGACGTAGTTAATACTTAAACTTGGACGTATTGCCCGTGAAAGTCTAGTCGAGCCAACATAACTTAAGTAGTTTTTTTACTGAACTGTTAAACCAATCCCAGTAAGGGAATGGCCGTTTGACTGACGACAAAATGTTTTTTGCTCCAACAAACTTTAAAATAATCTGCAATGTGGTTTTGTGCTTTTTTATGCAGGGAGTGTTGAAGGTGCGAAAGCGAGTGACCTTAATGATTGTAACTGTCAGTGCCATATTTGGTATCACTTGGCTCCCAGATGTAATTCTACACGTCGTCGAACAAACAACCAGCATCAAGTTCAGTCCCGCCATATTTACTATCGTTCACACCATCATCATGTTTAACTCCGCTGTCAATCCATTTGCATACGCGTTAATCAACCAGCGATTTAGAGAAAAGATGAAACGATTGCTGTGCTATAGTTCAATTTTATCGGAACTCAGGAGCTCCACAAATTTGCAATCACACAGCATCGAGTTAATGAACAGTAACATCACTCAGCCACGGCCATAGAAAACAGAAAAGGTACAAACTGGATAACTTCTAAAGAAACTGCAGTCAATAACAATGTAAATTAATGATGGTAACATACCGTGTAGGAAAAATTGTACAGCTCTTATTAGTATTAACATCAGGCTTAAGACTCGAATTATGTAATTCTTAAAATTCTTGGACACGGTAATTAAAAATAAAAATAAATTATAGTTGAAATAAAGAATTTCCCAGAATCCCTTGAGACAAAGCTTCATAATTTCGACAAATGCATTATAAACCTAGAATAATGTTAGACTACAACAAGACAACAATTCCCATAAAATATCTACAAGTCTTGTGATTTTAACACAACTAGTTTATGACAGGCCTAAAATAAGTAGTCTTATTTGATCTTAATTAGATTATTTCTGCCACCACGGTAGAAAAACAGGCAGGCAAACAAAATTATGTCCGTTTTTGAGTGTCCAGCCATGACGTGACCTCCTGAATATAAAAATACCTAGGTAAGGTTGGGTGGGTTCTCCATATCTAACAAGCGGATAGTCAAAAAAACGCTTAATAATTTACTTCATTTTCGAACGTTTTGTCTTAAGTCAAACTTCAGTCTAGATATTCACTGCATTAAAACTATTGTTTGCCTCTAAACTGGCTAATTCTACACCAAGACAGTCGCAACGACAAAGTTGTTGTTTTGCTTATTAAACCTGATTTCTTTTTACGTTCTCGTTGCCGTCGCGTCGTTGGATCTTAAAGTCCCTAACGTTTCCTGCGAAACAAGATGAAGTGATGGCATTTGATGTTTTGACGTAGGCATCACGTGAATTCCCATGCTCGATGGAAAAGCAAACGGTTGCACGCATTGGTTTCTCTACCTTCGTAGCGCAGCGTCCAGCCTGGAGAAACCACTGCTCGCAGGGTACTCTGAGATGGACATCTTCATGAACGGCCCAGACTGTTCGTCTTAGAGAGCTTAGAGAGGTGTCCGGCTTATAGAGAGCCGAGGTAACTTGACACCAGTAACTATAAGAAAATAAAACTGAACCCATTCGCAATGACTGCACGTCTGTTTACTTGCCAGCGAAACAGTTAAAACTGGAACATTATAACAAAAAGAGGAAACATTTTCATATTGTGCAATCAAACGTTCATTTAAAAAAAAGGTTAACGGTCGGTGGTCTAAAAGCGTAACGGCATATACTCTGCGAACTGGAACAAAACCACACAAAATAATAATAAACATGACTTGACTTTACTGTTTTTCTTAGTGAAAGCGGACAGTGAAAGGCGGGAAAACCAATACGATTTTTTTCCCTAGTGCAGGTTTTCGTCTGCGCCCAGTGATTGGTCATACGATAATTTTCACTTGTGACAAAAATTGCCAGTAGTTTTTTACCAGGTAAATCTCAGTACATATATAATAAATGTGTATGGACAATACTTAAGTTTCTTTATAGTAGAATAATTTTAGAGTTAATTTACCTCGATATACCCTGCGAGCACAGTCTCCTTCGATAGGGTAACCTCGATATTGCTTGACATTCCTATTCCTTGGTTTTAAAAATCAAATTTTCATCTTTATCATCATCATCTGGAGCATTTTTCGTCCGTCAGGATTGCTCCCTCTTCCCACTGTTCACACAGCTGTTATGTTCAATTCGGCGGTCAATCCGTTTGCATATGCTCCGATAAACCAACTATTGAGGGAAAAAAAATGAAAGAAATCCTTTGCCGTACACCGCGTTCGATGGCAATGATAGAACCTCACGGCAATGTAGTGGCAAACAGAATTTCTTCTGGGGGCAATTTCCGTGACAAGGGAATATCATATGATCAAACTGGATCAACCTACTGTAAATGCTTAACCTTAAATTTTACTTTGGAAGTAATAATGCTTTGCTCTTTAGTTAGATAGAAACATTCCTTTGGGCCTTAAAAGGAATCCGTAGCGTTCACGACAGCGTTAATGCTTCCAACCCATAACCCTTTAGTTAAAAGCAAATTACGAGGCCAGAATTAATGTGGGAAAAGGGGGTAAGGGATGAAGTACTCATAATATGTGGGTGGAGGTGATAATTCCCCTTTGGTACTGGAGAGGTGAAAACACCTCTCTAGATGTCCAATTTCCCGGTTTAAGGAATAACAAGAGCAATTCAACTCCACCAAATACCCCTTAAGGGGTATTTCTCATTGAATAGAATAGAATGGAATTCTTTATTTACACACAGTAAAATTCATCAGGAGTATAAAAATTTATTAAATAAACCCAATTACCCTAAACAATATGCATAACTATCTACAACTAACATAACTAAGACCTGTTTTTCATGAATGCCGTGCACACAGTACTTTGAAATCAGAAATTCAGATGAGCCAATCGTTTAAATTGACTGAAAGATTTAGCCTCCCTCATATCACAGGGCAGGCTGTTCCAGAGAACTGCTGTTCTTACATGAAGTTAGACAAATAACCGGAATTATAAAACTATTTCCAGTGTCAAAATGTCACTTGAAACGTCACATGGTGATTAAAACATGAGCTATGCAATAAATTCTGTAAATTGATTGCAATTGATCGACTAACAGTCACGTACAACATTCTTCCGTTTAATCTCAGTGGGCGTGAAGTTTGACACATTCTCGTCTTTTTAAAAAGAACTGCAAACTTTGTTGTCACTCCCTAAAGAGGGATTTTCTGTAACAATACTAATGATGGAGTTTTGAGGAACTAAAATAATGTACTATGTAAAAAAAGTAAATATTAAGCTAAAAGCAGACGCCAACATTTGTAAGATCAAAATTATGCAAAAAAAGAAATGAGGTGTTAAAACTAGAAACTAGGGCCCACTTGAAAAGGAAAGCGTTCGAATAAGTAACTGCTTAGTTTATGATTAAAAGTAGGAAAGGAAAAATGTCTATTAATTAACAAGAAAAAATGTCCATTAATTAACAAGAAAAGGGTTTGATGAAAACAATGAAAAATAGTTCTTTCCATTGTTCCAATCGATGGAAAAACGCACAAATTGAAAGCCTAAGAATTCCGGACCTTGTTAAGAAAACAACAGATCGATTTTCGAAAATTGCTGTTGTTTTCCAGCTCGCTCAGCAACAGAAAGGTAATAAAAGATTTTCGAAACGACAGATGAAACTAGAAAAAAAATTACCATAATAAAACCTTATTCAGCTCTGTCGATCGAGGGTAATCGGCCTCGGTGGATAACACCCTCCTCGATCGCTATCATTATTCTTCAGATCATACGAAAGCTGAATCCAACAATTGTTATATTATTCATTCAAAATAATTCCAAGTTAAAACAAAAAGAACAACAACAACGACAAGCTAGAACACGCTTACCTCGATGGATGTTTAGTTCCTGTCTTCATTCGTCTGTTTTTCGGCAAGTTCAGGAGATAAAAGAAGGTTTAGTTTTTTAGATATTTTCCAAATAGCAGATGCTGTCCGTCGAATTGGATTCTTACTTTTCTAGCTACGTTTTAGACGGTTGTTCGGCCATTTCTTTTTCGTGTGAAATGTTCTGCCATTTTCTAGTGCCCCACCAAAACATCGCAACTTTGTCGTCAGCGCTTCTCGGTTGACTTCACTTTCCATATAGCGCAAACGTCTTCCAAATTTGGTCAACGCTAGCTGGTTATGAAGAATTAGCCGTAGGATTTGAGCTAATAAGAAACTGAGAAATATTTTGAATGAATAATAATTTCTATTAATTGTCTGATACCGTTTCACGGTTTCTTTAATATGAATCATGCTATGACTTTTTTTAATTAGTTAAAGGTAATACTTGAAAATGCTTCTTTTATTATTGAACTGTAAAACCAATCCCATTCGGGGAGTGGATGATAGATCGACGACACGATTCTTCACACCACTGAACTTTTTATATCACTCGACGGTAACAGAGGCGAGTATGCAAGGCGCCAGGTAGAATACCCAGAGCGATAGGTTACAGCCCAGGCAGTTACCTAAAGCAAGGCTCACCACCACTGCTGCAAGGTGTCTCTTGCTTCTTTAGAAGTTTTTTTAGTATATTTTTCTGCAACGGTGAGTTTTAAGCTAAGTTAACACCTAAGAACGGTGACTTGGACGCGATTTCTGTAATGGAGCTAAGCTGCGCCGCGCCGATCTCTAAAGTGGAGAGTCTCATATCGAATAGGTGTTCATACTATATCAAACAGCTTTTCGTGTTGGCGCGAAAGTAGTCTGTAAATGTGGTTTCTGCTTTCTTACGCAGGGTGTGCTGAGGGTACGAACGCGAGTGAGCTTAATGATTGTAACTATTAAGAATCCATCTTTAATCCGAACCGAAAGAAGGTTACAACTAGAACTGAATAACATAAGCTACAAGGCGAGAGAATAAACCATGAGTTTATGCGATCGAAAAGCACGTGTAATCCCCTAGAGAGTGTCATATGATCTTAATCAACGAATCACATTACATGATTATTATTTCTCCAACAGTAGCAGTCAGTGCCATATTTGGTATCACTTGGTTCCCAGATGTAATACTCCAAGTCGCTGATCAAACAAACAGCCTTAAGCACGGTGCTGTCATATTTCTTATTGTTCACACGATAACCATGTTCAACTCCGCTGTTAATCCATTTGTATACGCGCTAATCAACCAGCGATTCAGAGAAAAGATGAAGAGCATTTTGTGACGCAGACGCCGCAAAAGTTTGCAATCAGACAGCATCGAGTTAGTCAACAGTAATGTCGCTTAGCCAAGTGCATAGAAAAAGAAGAAGGACAAACTAGATAGCTTGTAAAGAAACTTTGGTTAACAATATTGTAAACTAGATAATGCAACATACAGTATGTTAAATAAAAATAGATTAATAATAATAATAATAATAATAATAATAACAATACTTTATTCAAATACATATATGCACATAAACATGATACATGATACATATTTGAAAAGGTGGATCGCGAAGTTATCCCTATAAAAGGTCCCCTAACTGAACTTTAAAAATACTTAAAAATTATAGACAACGCGTGTA